CCAGGATGGTTCCCCGAGGACCTCAACAACACTGCAGACCCACAAACCTTCTTTACATATAAAGAAAATCGACGGTGGCAACATCTGTCCACAGCTGGTCTCACCTTCGATGGGTCTGGGGACAAAGTGTGAGCACGGTTTGGTTTTCTTCACTCGGTTTCCCTTCATGATGACTCCTTCCTTATTGAGGCCCAGGAACCAAGCCCGGCCCGACTCGTGCTGCCGATACATGGTGGACGAGTAGATGACGTAGTAGTTTTCAAAGACCGACTCCTTGAACTTGCACTCTGGTGTGAACACATCCTGATACACAAACATACAGAAAACATTTGAAGTATAATCAGCAGAGATCATTTTGTAGTTTTTCTCACACGACCGCCTGCTCCACATCTCTGTGCGTCTACGTGTTTGATTGCACGACTCAGCTGCTTTAATCTGAGTTTTATTTTGAAGTTTAAACTCGGGGCTTTTATTTTAAAATGAAGCAGCAGCCTTTTAGCGTCACGGTTCAGTTTGTGCTCAAAGCTTTCGTCATCATTTTACTTCCATATAAATCTGCCTGCCTCGTGTGACAGGACAGGAAACGGTCACTACATGCTGATACTTCCTGTTACAGAAACACGGCAAGATGTGATAGGACACAACACACGAAGCAGCCAATGAGCCGTGACCAATACGAAACACCTTGAAGGTGATCGATCACATTACACGCACACAATAGCGTCAGCAGCACTGCAGCGCAGCGTCACATGTAACAGGACAAGAGTCTTACAAAAGCTGGGTCTTAATTCTCAGTCTGAGCACAGGTACACACTGAGCACAGGTTCACTGCTGCAGTCTTTACAACATGTTAATTCAACAAAAGGAATCTTAACTGTAAGAACTTCAATAATCCATGAAACATAAATGGGAAAGGAAGCTCAGTACAAAGCAGCTGAAGAAATAAAACTCTACATTATTTTAAAAGCTTTAAAAGGCTTTTAAGTTGAAATATTAATGTCTTGTTCGTGCACTTTATCCTTCACGGAGCAGGAAGCTGTGGTGGACATTTAGACACCAAACGTGACTGCTGGGCCGTTTAAAGTCCCAGTTTAGCACCTCCCTCCAGGTATAACAGGTGTGTGTGTGTGTGTGTGTGTGTGCACCCTCTGGATATAACAGGTGGTCAGGCGAGCCAATCAGAGCAGAACAACTCCCCTAGCAGACAAAAACCTGTCCCAACATTTGAAACTTGGAGTTTCTAAACACAGTTGTTGAAATGTGTCTCTCAGAAATCCAGAGTTCAGTTTCCTCAATTCTGTGATCACTTAATAAAGAAAAAGCAGTTTTTGTTCTCGTCTGGTCTGGACTGCAGACTCCTGGAAAAACTTAGAGGCTGTTTTTATTTGTAATCTGTTGCCGATTATGTTTATGTGTCGCTGTGCTTCCTCTTCAGCCTTTTGCTGCCCTGCTCCAACCTTTGAGACGCGTTCCTGTCAGAAAATTTGTCTTTGATGTAAAAACTTCACCGTGAGATGTCACAGATGCTCATTACAAATCTGTCTGAGTGTTTAAAATGATTCACGAGTAACTGAGAATCTGATAAGAATCAAGCTGCAGTCACTACTACACTTAATAAAACCAACACAAACACAGCAGCAGATAAAAAGGAAAAAGACGGGACTTCAAATGGAGCGTGACGATGATGTAGAGGAGGAAGAGGAAACAGAATAAATGATGAAAAGCGTATTTTTTCCTCCCAGCACGCGGCCTGCCTCTCGTATCAAGACGTGATGGTTTCAGTAAACAGCGTTGAGACGCTCGGGCCTCCCAGCACAACTTTACTTGCAGCTGCCTCGCCGCTCGTGCTGTAATGCTCTTACATAACCGCAGAGCAAGAGGAGAAGCTGCTCTTCATCTGAAGCTACACCTGAGAGAACAGGAGTTTATATTTTATGGAGCCGAACCAAATCCTCACCTTACCTCCTAAAAAAACAGAGCTGCCTCTTCCATCCTGGATTCATCTGGAAGGGCTGAGAGACGGGATGAAGTCATGTGATCTCCCCGTTCTCGATGGGAAGCATTTACATTTCAAAGCATCGAGCAGTCAGGACTGACTGGTGAGATGGGATCAGGCCAATTTGTGATTAATTAATAATTAATTAATGATTCATGAAGAGGAGCATCGAGCTAACAAGTGCAGAAACATTTACTAACAGCTGCGCGTCCATGTTTGCCATCAAACCACAAAGCAGAACTAAAGCGCAGCTGCAAAGTGGCAGCAAGGTTGCATCACGTACCCGCCACGAAGGCACGCTGGTGTAGACTGACTCAAACTACCACACAGTCAGCGTCCGCGGCTTCAAATCGCAGTGGCCGTCCGCGGCTTCAAATCTGCAGCAGCCAATAGGAGCGCTGCAGAATTACATCTTCCCCACAGCGCTCACCAACAATCGCAGCTAACAGCTAGCTTCTTTGGGCGCGCTGCGAGCTCATATTTAGTTTTTGTGTCCAACACGCCTGAGAAAGCTTCCTCACATCGTCGCTGTTATCCTCCTCTTCCTCCACCACTCTGCCTCCATCCTGACGCTGCGCACAGAGAGGCTCAGGCATTGCATTTTAAAGTTTTATGCACGTGTTGTGAATTATGGATGTGAGATGGACTCACTGAGGCAGAGCAGCAGTCCTCGGTCTGATCAGGGCTGTCCTCCTAACTACTTCCATTGTTCATCATCAATTAATTATTACACACGCTGTCTAAAAGTGGAACTTTTGTACTGTAATGTCACCGAGTTTGCATCTGAACACGAGCTGGAACAGAAAAATAAACCCAGCATCTCTTTGCAGGGGAAGAACTGGATCGGTCAGATAATGAAATCAGATCTTGTGAGAAACTTTATCTCAGTGTCACCCTTTAAATCCTGCCCGAGTCCTTGAGCAAAGCAGTAGCACCTTATTACCTCACAAACAGTCGTTTTTCAGATGTGTTAATAGTTAAAATGATTGTCGGGGACACGTCAGGAGCTCCTGCAGCTGTTTGTGTCACCTCGGGAGGAAGTGACGCTCCAAACCTTTAATGCAACAAGCTCAAGAAGGACATGAGGCAGATGTTCTTACAGATGTGTAGAGGAATCCCTCGGCGTTCATGGCCACGTACAGCGCGGCCTTCACTCCCTGGATGGCCACGACCCTCAAACCTACTGGGATCAGGTTAAACAGAGCTGGAGGGCGAGAGACATAGAAACAGACAGAGAGAGAGAGAGTTAGGTAGTGAGAGGCAGAAAGTAGATTAATACAAAACGCCACAGAGAGCACAGGAGACGGACGGAGCTACCAGGAAGTCTGCCGCAGTTACCGAGCTCTTATTGTGAAACCTCGAGTTGAGTCATTTGGCGTTTTGAAAGCAGACGTGACGACCGAGCGGCGGAGACGAACGAGGAACTCCTGGATAAAACTCCCTTCTTAACGACCATGATTTCAAACGTTGATGATCTGGCTCTCTTCCTCTCCCTGCAGGTTTCTTCCTGTTAAAAGGGAGTTTTTCCTTCCCACTGTTGCCAAAGTGCTGCTCACAGGGGGTCACATGATTGTTGGGTTTCTCTCTGTATGTATTATTGTAGGGTCGACCTTACAGTATGAAGCATCTTGAGGAGACTGTTGTGTAAATAAAACTGAATTCGAGAGCTCCCAGAATATTTTTGTTCTATGAATATATGCACGTATGTATCAGACGGAGCAGAAACTTTTAACACTGCAGGATGATGTGAAAATGGTGGATTAGCCACAAGGTCCCAGCGTCTCAGCCAGGCGGAGGTTGAGACCCAGACTCTGGACCGTTGCAGCAGCTGTTACATGCTAGCATGCTAACAGAGGCCTGTAGAGTCTCCTGGGGGGGATTTGCTGGGATATCCACTCCTGAGATGATGTCTTGAGTGTTTTCCACGTGTGGATACCGTCCTCCGCTGTGGAATAATGGACTTCTTTGGCGATGGCCTTATCCCTGCATGACGATGGACATCAGCTGATGCTTCTTAAAGCTCGTTGCTGATGCCTTTCCTCCTCTGCATCGTGTTAACACACAAACCTGAAACTACAGAAACGTCTGCTTCTGTCTGTTCACACATTTGCAGTAAAAAGTCGCACAGAGCAGGTTTAAATTAATAAACCAGCAGTGATTCTTCCATCTCTGCTTTAAATCTTCTGCACCTGTGTAAATCAGACCCACTCAGCATTAAAAAATCCCATTACACCTCTTCAAACTGTGAATTTTTGTGCTTTTAGTCGATCTGTAACGGTGGTTAAAACCCGGCTCAGCCTGCTGATGTGCTTCCAGCTGATAAAGCGAGAGAAAAAGACTGAATAAAAGCAGAGAGAGAGCGAGAGGGGGGGTGATAGCGGGACGCAGTGATGAGAGGTGATTTAATCCTCGGGGACAGAGAGCTGCAGTGTGGGTGAGGATGAGGAGTAGGAGGAGATGGAGGAGGAAGAGGCCTGTGGCAATGGCTGCGGTTAATCCTCCTTTATTTAACTCAGAGATGATCAGAGAGAACGCGAGAGGGGGAGAGAGGGGAATCCAAAACATCTCCTCCTCCTCCTCCTCTTCTTGTCCTGTTTTTGCTTCTTCTTTTCCAAACCAAAAGGATTTACAGGAAGCAGCAGAGGCTGTAATCCTGAGCTCATCCAGCCGCGAACAAAGACCTGCAGCAGGAACGTGACCGAGTATCGGCGATCAGTCTTCAGACCTCGGATCGCTCTGTTACAGACGGCAGATGCAGCTTCAGTTTTCTGATGCAACCCCAAACAGGATTTGTGGAATCGAACCAACGACCTTTAACGTGTTAAACATGACAGCGTTGTAGGGGAGGTGTCTTTAGTGAGGGGAGGGTGGAGCGTGAGAGCGACAGATGGCTTGGGGCGGAGTCTGCAGCGGTGCAGACATCCCTACCCTCACCTGTGGGGAGTGACTGAAAGAGCTGCAGGTGTAAGCTGTGGAAACATTTCCTTTGAAGCGCACTTAGTGACGGGGCTTTCAGACTTCAGATCTGCTGGTCCTCCACATCGAATAGTTCAGGCAAGTCCGACCGGGAGGAGGCCCCGGCAGACCCAGGACTCACTGGAGAGATTATATCTCAGCTGGCTGGGATCAAATCCCCCCGGATGAGCTGGAGGAGCTGGCTGGGGCGAAGGAAGTCCGGACTTCTCTGGTTAGACTTCATGAGCCAAACCCGGGAAGCAGCAGAAGATTGTTGGATTATGTTTCTGATTTAATGAGCTGTTGTATTTGAGATCCTTCTTCTGTGTAATGTTTCACCTTTCTGAGCTCTTCTCTTGTTTGACATCGGATGATTTGATCCACAGTGTTTTTACACTTTGGCTGTGGCTCTTTCCATAAAAGTTGGAGGTAGCGACCACGACATCACACAGTAGTGAGTGAAACAACATGCTCACTGAACCCTTCATAAAACCGACTCCTGACACCAAACTTTACAAAATGACCTCATCTTTTTATTTAGCTTGACCCAAAACGAGCCCATGAACCCTCAGGATCGCCCCCTGGAGGCCATTAAAAAGAGTACAGGTGTGAGGGAGACAAATACAGTGTTAATGTGGGACTCACTGTAGTCGCTGTTCTCGTCCTTGGTGCCGCTGATGGCGCCATCGGGCTGCATCTGCAGGAAGAAGCCCTGCTCGCTGAAGAGGCGCGTCACGATGCCCTTCAGCTGCGGCTCTGAAACACAAAGACCGATGTGAGGTTCAGCCCGCACACACACACACACACACAAACACACACACGCACACAGTCTGTACCTGACAGCAGGTCGTCAGGTAGCATTGTAGCAAGGTAGCAAGAAGAAGAAGTGTTTCTCCTTCTCTACTTTCACATTTGAGAAGAAGAAGAAGAAACAAGCGTACATCCCAACATTTCCCGTCCAGCTATGCTCACACAGACACAACTGTCACACCTGTGTAGTCAGCTTGCAAATCACGCTAGCTAGCATTAGCTGATAAATCAGCAGTTCACCCTTTGCTTGCATAAGACATATAACACTAACAGTGTGTTAGCCACTAGTTTAAGGACATGTTCAAACATGAAGGCCTGGCAGACCATCGGAAACCCTCCAATCTGTGTGGAGAGAGTCAGGAAGTTCCTGAAGCTCCAAATCAGTGACCTTTGCCCTCAGAGTTAGCAGATGGTTGCTGATGGGTTTCCAGCCTGGGCCACGTGAAGCTTAAGGGCACACAAACACACATGGTTCAAACCCCGGGATGTCACATGTGCCCCAGAGACAAACCTCGAGGCCACGGCTCAGCGCGAGTCCCTCCTGCTTGACTTTAACACCGAGCTGAAGGTCTGAGGACGTAAACACGGTAGAAGCTGAGCAGACGAAGTGATGCTCCAGATGACAATGTGGGCCAGAAGGACTCATCTCTGGCAGAAATAGACCAAAAAGACAGCGAGGCTAATGTGGAGCAGGCCGCTGTGCTACTTAACATCTGAAAGGACCGAAGACACACATACGTGTCCGGAAACGACAACAAGGTAAATCTTCACCTTTTAACA